GTCCCTCCGCCTGGGAGGAAATAGAGAGCCTGAACTAGCCCCAGCCCTGCTTACATGGCTGGGCTTTATCTGAAGAGAAAACAAAAATGAGATCCATGCCTAAACAAATTTCAGACTCTGAACTTCCCATAGCAAAACACAGCAGGATATTGGCTCCACTCAGGGAAAATAAATACATACATAAATAAATAAATTTGAGCTAGTATGTTTCCTGCATGATCTTCTTTCTTTTATTTTGCAGTGGAGTTCCCCTACAATAAATATACTTTGTTTTTGTTGTTGTTATATGTAAACAGTTGAAGAGCAAGTGTTCAAAATAACTGGATTTTCTTTTAATGCTATTAATCAGACTAGGTTGTTCCTTCCTCTTTGTAATTTCGTCTTGACTTGTTTTTAACACTTCAGTGATTTTAAAGTGGCCTCATTTCTTGTGTTTTGAAATCAGTACTGATCCAGTTTACACCCATAAGGATCTAGACCAGTTCATTCCAGATTCCAGTGTGATTCCAACTAATTCCAGAGTAATTCCGCTGACTTAGAAGTAATTGCACCAACAGTGTATTTTGGTACATAGCAAATATTATGAAACCTGACAGAAAAAAAAAAAAAAGTAAAGATTTTTACAAGTCAGTCTGTAGCATTTGAATCCCATTGACAATAATTTCTTAAGAATGCAGGCACTAGAAACAATTTTGCAAAAATAGGAAATGAAAACTCAGTTTCAGGATTCCTAAGATCTTACAAAATCTCCTGCCCACACTGAGTCCATTTAATGTTTATGAAAATCAAAACATAAGAAATTCTGTAATTATCCTTACCTTTTATTCCATTAACATAATAATTTTGGCTTAACATGTTCAGAAAACACCCATTATTGAGAAATATACAGCATTATAAAACTGTTCCCCAACATGTCCTATAATTGCATAATTTTATCACTTGCTTCAGTGTCTGACAGTAAACACAGAATCTTTCGGAAACACAAAGTTCTGATAAATAAATGCTTTTTGTTAATCTTAACATATTACACAAAAATTAAAGCATTTTAATAACTGAACTTTTAAAACAAGAGCCAGCTGCTGCAAAGCCAACATATTTTGTGAAATCCTGCTGTTCCTAATGTGTTGTTTTTTTTTTTCCTGCAGTTCTACCAAAAGCATTTTATGTACAGTACTTTGAAGATTAAACTGTGGTCCAACAGATAGCAACAGGTCCAGTTTTCTACTCTTTCTACACATCTGGAAAGCTGCCCACCTTTATATCCATTCTAAACACATGAAACTCCTATGACACCTAGAGATTCTTCAATGCCTTTATGGTCTTCTGGAGCACTGGCATACAGCACCCAGCAACAGCTATATCACCCTGTGAACTGCATGAGTTATGTTCTGAATTATACTTCTCTTCACATTTCAACTTTCTAGTTGGTTTCCAATGGAAATTTCCACAGTCAGCCTGTGGAAAACAAGCAGACACTTTGCTAAATCTTAAGTAGTGAAGTTCTTTCATAAACCCAAGACCCTAATATTGTTATGAGGGGTGGGAAATTTAGATTGCCATGGGATTTCTTTGTTCAAAATCCCTCCTCCGAGGCACCCAGCTCAAGCTGTAGTGCTATTAATAAAAAGGACTTTATAGAAGAATCTCCTCTCAGCCTATTGATTCGGCAGAAACCTAGAGTCAAACCCCTTTATAGTGGCTGGCATTCATAATTTCCGTAACACAGTAAGGGCAGTCAAATATTTTCAGCACTTTTTACAGTGGCAATTTGCACGGACTTGGTTCATTTATGAAACTAGCGAACGCACAGACTTGAGGTCTGGGAGAATCGACGGTGATTAATCTTATTCTAATGGTGAATTTAATGCATTTTCCTTTCATGATCGGAAAGCAGCCGTGCCCCTCCCAGAGGCGGAACAGCCGAGAAGCCGAGGCCACCTCCCCGCCGCCACACCGCCTTCCCGCGGGGCTTCAGGTGGCTGCAGCTGGTCGCTCCCCCAGCCAACCTTCCTGCCGGGAAGAGTGGCCGCCTGCCGTCAGGGCTCCCGGCCCTGTTCCGGGCTGAGACTGCACGAAGTGTGCTAGCCCTGAGGTAGACAGCCTGGCTGTCCCGCTCCGTTCCTAGGCCAGGCCTGGCCTGGCGTGGCGTGGCCCGGCCCGGCCCGGCGCAGCTCAGCTCGGCTCGGCTCGACTCGACTCCTCGCGGCGGCACCGGCCACCCCCAAAGGCCGCGCCCCGTCCTGAGCCGCGTGGTGCTGGCTGGCAGACTGACAGAGTGCCAGACTACAACTCCCAGAATACACCGAAAAATCAAACTGCACACCCTGTCATGTGAAAGGTGATTTTGTACTACGCGACTTCCGCCGTGTAGTACAGGTTGGGAATGCGAGTAGAGATTGGCTGGCTCTTGCCCCGCTTGTCAACGTGTTGGGGAGCAGGAATCGGTAACGGAGGAGTGAGCGCGGCAGGACGAGGGGCTCCTCGCGGTGAGTACCTAGCAGAACTGTTTTCCCACCTCACAGGACGCCACACAAGCAATCCGGCCGGGATTTAAAAAGTCATCGATTTAATGCGCGCTTTGATGACGTAATAACGACTAACGAGGCTGCGGTGCTGCTAAATGCATGGCTCGGACCGGCACTGTCCTCGGAGGCACTCCCGTAGAATAATTGCGCCTGCCGATGGCCACCCACGCTGCTCTTGAAATGCCTGTGCCCAACAGGCACTCAGCACTAACTAGGCCTTCCGCCTCCTCCCGCTCCTGGGACTCGGCGAGCGGTCATTGGCTTCTCCACCTGGGGCGTGCTCTGTCACCGCCCTACGATTGGTGGTGGACGCACTGACTGTCATCAGCGCCCGCCAATGGGGTTGTAGCTGGCCACTGTGCAGGCTAAAGCTCCGAGGCGGTTAGCCTGGTCTAGTTGGTCTTTGAGAGTTTTGCGGAGTTGTTGGGTGGTGGGGACTCTAAGGGACGTTGACGGCAGGTCGTGGCGCCACCTCACGGTCTCTGTGGGCAGCAGGAGGACTCTTATTGCCCTTTGGCAGTGTAATACCTGGTGTGTGCCCTGCTCGGCTCGGTAGGGCGTGAGTGCCTGGGTCACTTCTGCCTCAGAGTGAGGTCTTGTCCGTGGCTGAGAGGGGACTGAGGGACTGGCTCGTATCTTTGCTCTGTGGCTGTTATTTTTAGAAGGAAAATATACAGCAAAATGCATGAGAAATTCTCGTGTCTGTGTTCTCTTGAAGCAGTGACTTGCCAAGTATCCCTCATGTTTCTTTCCTGAGATAGCTACAATGAGATGGCAGTGGTTTGACCAGTGCTCAGTCTGCTGACCTGTGTTGTCTGAATTGCTATAACTCTGTTCTGCCTGCCTGTGTTTGTGTTTGATCCATATAAGCAAAGAAAATGTCTAGTGCCTAAAATAAGAGGAGTTCCTGTTGAAGACCAGGAGTGTGGAAATAATAAGATGGCCTCACTGAGGTAGATTTATGAGGGCAGATATGTAAATTGCATGTATATGACATGCATCCAGTGTCAGAGGCTGATATGGTGAATTCAGTAGTCAACTTGGTTTTCCAAGAAAATCCAGGTAACTAACTGAATTATTTCAGTTTCTGTCTCTCATCTATGAGCCTGCATGTAAGTGCCAGCTTGGATCTTGGATTGCTTCTGTCTGCCTTGCTTGGCTGCTTGGTTTTTCTTTGATGATTTGTGCCTTTTGCTTCCTGCTGCAAAGTAGCATTATGAAAATATGCTGTTCTCTTGGGCTTTCTTATGCAATATCACTGAGTTTAAAATGAAAATACTCGATGAATGCTGCAACTGTATTTAGATATGTGATAAATTCACATGGCTTTTACTAGTTTTGTGTTAATTCAGGACAGTAAGTTATCTATCATAAGTTGTAGTTTTCCTGTTCATGACTCAGTCTTCTGAGACTGAAACTTCAAAATTTCTTATCCTGGCTCGCTCTGTTATTTTGAGAGTTTTTTTTTTGTAAGAACTTCCTACGAACATGATTTGGTAGTAAATTTGGGGTAGGTGGAAATAATGAGATGTGGGGGTTAAAATTTTGTTTGGTTTAACTTTTGGGGAATTAGGCTTTTAACTGCAAGCCATCTGTCCTTGTATGATGTATCAAAAATGGGCCAGAAGAATTAAACAGTGTAGTAAGTGGCTGACAGCTTCCCACATGAAACTTTATGTGGAATACCAGACAACAAAAGAAAGGTAGGAGCTGCTGGTCATCTGTTTTAGACCCATCATTACATATGAGGTGAAGACAGCAGCAGCATTCTCTCCCTTCAGCCTCACCTTCCCATTTGCCTTCACAAGACTCTGATATGTATTTCGGCATCTGCTTGGCAAAGCAGTGATAGCAGCTAGAGCTAGATTTCCATAAACAGTTGCTTCTGCTCTTCTTTCATACTCTTGGCAAAATGACTTCTCCATATGACAGTTTTTCTGAGATGCAAGAAAGAGTGTGCTTTGTGGTAAAAATAGGTGTCCTGAGGGAAGTTACTTGGAAGGTGCAGATGGCTGCTCAGGTTGGGCAGGGTATCGGTCAGCGGGTGGTAAGCAATTGTATTGTGTGTCACTTGTGTTTATTGTTTTCTTTTCCCTTTCCCCTTTTATATTCTCTCCCTTTGTTATTTCCCTTACCATTATTATTATTGGTGGTAGCAGTAGTGGTTTTGTGTTATACCTTAGTTACCGCACTGATCTTATCTCCATCCGTGGGATTTGTATTGTTTTGATTTTTCTTCCCCATCCGCTGGGGGGGGGGTGGGGTGGGGTGAGAAGGGGTTGGAGTGAGCAAGTGGCTGCGTTGTTTAGTTACCAGCTGGGCTTAAACCATAACAATAGGAATTCCACAATTTTCTTTACTTAATATGTTAGTCATAAAAAGTAACTTTGCTTTTATCACAGCCAGGTAGTTCTTCTCTCTACTTCTGTTGAACCCCATATACCAGTGTTTGTTGGAAGTATACCAGTATGTGTTTGTTGGAAGGGAGGTAGAATTTATACAGCTGCACAGGAGATTTAGCAAGCATGGTGGTATCAGCTCAGATGTTGTTAGTGCACATAAGGATCAGGTTTAACAGGTTTGTGCTCAGGACTTTCCAATCACACCAAAAATCTCCATCAGAAGTTAGGAAGCACCCAGAATTTTCTATCTCTATATTTAATGTTTGGCTTGATGCTAGCTGCTCTTCTGCCTTTCTTCCTTTAATGTGACTTTGAAGTGTCTTTGCTTTTTCTGTGGCATTTTTGATACTAGAGCCATGTGAATGTGGGAGTTGAAGATGAGTGCTGCTGCACAGATCCTAAGTAATTTTTGTTGGGAGTTAATTTTTGAAATGCTTTAATTGAAGCACTTGGACTTTCTCCAGAGATCCTTCTGCATAAGCAGCACACTAACATATGTGTCTTATTTACAGGCACAGAGTTCTGTTAAAACTCTTCAGGTTCGAGAATCTCTGCAACTTCTACCCCCTGTGTTTGTTGTATAAGTAAGGGAGTAAGAGCCATCAGATTACAAGCCTCCGTGTTTCTCTCAAAAGGTTGGCAAAGACTATTTTGTGTTGCAGGGGGAGAAGTGTAAGAAGGCTAAGAGAATAAGAAGCTCTTGGGTGTGACAACATATTATATTCCTGGCAACTCCTTTGTACTCAGAAGCTGAAAAGTGCTGCTTTATTGCATCCTTATTTAAAAGAAGTAAACGTTTTGTGTTCACTAGATACAAAATGTGACTTAAGTATGAAAACTGTCAGAACTGTTCTTCTACCGAGTGGACTGGTAGAATTGCAAGAAGTAATTTTATAAAGATTCTGACATTACAGTGCTGAGGTGTTATAGAATAGCTGTCTGTGGAGATGTTATATCCCTGCAGTATTTGCTTTGAGGGAGGTGGGTCTCTGATGAATCTGTAGAATAAAGAGATGCACTTACCCACTTTGACTGCGTTTTCCATGTGTATAAATAATGCTATACTCCATTAACCTGAATGCTTCCTACCTGTCACCTAAAATCAAGTAAACCTGTTACTGAGACAATTTATTGTTTTGTAGTGCCTGAGAAGTGCTAGTTAGTTCATGTTTGTATACTAACCAGACTGTGTAGTATTTACTGACTTGTGCAGTATTCTTACTGTCCTACCCCATTTTTTGCAGACTAGTCCTTTTTCCATGGAAGCTGAAGAAATGATGGAATGTATCCAGGAATTCCCTGAGCATTATAAAGTTATTTTGAATAGGCTGAATGAACAACGTGAGCAGGATCAGTTTACAGATATCACTCTGATTGTTGATGGTATGTATGTACAGGCCTGAGAACCAGTTGGTATAGAGAATTCTGAAAGCTGTGTTGGGAAGCTATGGGACTTGTCACAGGTCAGCTGTCAAACTGGGTTGCTAACATTATTGGATCTGTATTGATGTGCAAGTTGCTTGCAGAGTTTCATTTAAAATCTTGGGCTGAACAGAATCATCAGCAGTGGTTAGTAATTTTGCTTCTGCTTTTCCAAACAAGGGGCTAAATATTTTCAGATAGAAGCCCACTTTGAAACTGCTGTACTATATTTAATGTGTTGTCTAAGGATTCAGAAAATATCCTAAAAATATCTTTGCCTAACTTGAGCTGACTGCATGCAGAGAACTTAAACAAGTATTTGTTGATTTAAAAAAAAAAAATCCAACAACCTCAAAACAACAACAACAACAAAAAAAAACCAATCAAAACACCCACAAAAAAACCCTACCCACAACAAATGAACAACTAAAAACCCCAGATTGAAATAAGATTGCCTTCTTGCTTCTACTATTTTGATGACACCAAGTTGAGTAGTGCACTTGACATGCCTGAGGGACAGGATGCCATGCAGAAGAAATTGCACAAGCTTGAAGTGGGCTCATGTGAACCTCATGAGGTTCAACAAGGCCAAATGCAAGGTCCTGCACCTGGGTTGGTGTTGTGGTTTAAGCCTGGCTGGTAACTCAGAACCACGCAGCTGCTCACTCACTCCTCTCTGTTCTTCCCCTGCTCCTGGAGGGATGGGCAGGAGAATCAAAAGAATGTAAATGCCACAGATGGTGATAAGAACAGTCCAGTAATTAAGATATAATACAAAACCACTACTACTAACAGCAATAATAATTTGATAAGGGAAATAACATAGGGAGAGAATATAAAACTAAAACGGGAAAAGGAAAACAATAAACACAAGTGATGCACAATACAATTGCTCACCACCTGCTGACTGATACCCAGCCCAACCCAGCAGTGATCTGGGCCTTCTGGGTAATTCCATCCAGTTTATATACTGGGCATGAAGTGCTGTGGTATGGATTTCCCTTTGGTTAGTTTGAGTCAGGTGTCCTGTCTGTGCTTCCTCCCAGCTTGTGCCCCTTCTCACTGGCAGAGCATGACACTGAGAAAGTCCTTGTTCGGATTACTTAGCAACAACTAAAAGCATCAGTGTTGTTCTCAGGCTAAAGTCAAAAATGCAGCATTGCACCAGCTACTAAGAAGGAGAAAAATAACTGTTACAGCTGAACCCAGGACGGTCGGTGCAACCCCCAGTATCAGTACAGGCTAGGGGATGAAGGGATTGAGAGTATCCCTGAGTAGGACTTGGGGGTACTGGTGGATGAAAGATGGGATGTAAGACAGCAATGTGTGCTTGCAGCCCAGAAGCCCAGTCGTATCTTGGGCTGCATTCAAAGGAGTGTGGCCAGCAGGTCAAGGGAGATGATTCTGCCCCTTTCTCTGGTGAGGCCCCACCTGGAGTATTGTGTCCAGCTCTGGAGTCCTCAATACAGGAAAGATATGGACCTGTTGGAGAGGGTTGAGGGGAGAGCCACAAAAATGGTCAGAGGGATGGAGCACCTCTCCTATGAGGAATGGCTGAGAGAGTTGGGGACATTCGGCCTGGAGAAGAGAAGACAAGTTTGCTGATGACACTAAACTGTGGTTCAGTTGATACACTGGAGAGAAGGGATGCCATCCAGAGGGACCTTAGCACAATTGAGAGGTGGGCCAATGCCAACCTCATGGAGTTCAACTAAGCCAAGTGCAAGGTCCTACACCTGGGTTGGGGCAATCCCAGGCACAGCTACAGGTTGAGCAGTGAAGTAATTCAGAGCAGCCTGGCAGAGAAGGACTTGGGGATGTTGGTTGATGAGAAACTGAACATGAGCTGGCATTGCTCACCTTTACTGTGAGGGTGGTGAGGCACTGGAACAGGTTGCGCAAAGAAAAAGTTTGAACAGGATATTAAATATCTGAAAAAAAACCACTAGGGAATGAGCAAGTCCTCCAGTTGATTGAGTTGTATAGCTTCAACAAGCTCAGTGATGTCAGCAAGGGCCTGCATGAGATGGGATAGGCTAGGTGCAGTGGTATTCCATGTTACCAGGAGACATAGTATATGCTGCTGAAATAGATTTGTAGACTGGGGTGGTTCTGCAGTTGTGCTCTTCTCTGCATCTGCCCTTATTCTTTACTATAGAATCATAGAATAGTTAGGGTTGGAAAGGACCTGAAGATCGTCTAGTTCCAACCCCTCTGCCACTGGTAGGGACACCTCACAGTAGACCATGTTGCCTAAGACTCTGTCCAACTTGGCCTTGAACGTTGCCAGGGATGGAGAATTCACCACCTCTCTAGGCAACCTGTTCCAGTGCCTCGCCATCCTCACAGTAAAGAACTTCTTCCTTATATCTAACATGAACTTCCCCTGGTTTAGTTTGAGCCTGTTGCCCTTTGTCCTGTCACTACAGTCTCTAATGACGAGTTCCTCCCCAGCATCCTTATAGGCCCCCTTCAGATATTGGAAGGCTGCTAAGAGGTCTCCACCCAGCCTTCTCCAGGCTGAACAGCCCCAACTTTCTCAGCCTGTCTTCATGTGAGAGGTGCTCCAGCCCCCTGATCATCCTCATGGCCCTCCTCTGGACTTGTTGTAATAGCTCCATATCCTTCTTATGTTGAGGACACCAGAACTGCACACAGTACTCTAAGTGGGGTCCTATGAGATCAGAATAAAGGGGCAAGATCACCTCCTTTGACCTGCTGGTCATGCTTCTTTTGATGCAGCCCAGGATATGATTGTCTTTCTGGGCTGTCAGTGTACGCTGCCGGCTCATGTTGTTTCTCATCAGCCAGCACCCCCAAGTCTTTCTCTGCAGGGCTGCTCTGAGTCACTTCTCTGCCATGAGTAAGGATGATGTTATCCTAAACTGATTTTTTTTTTTTTTCCTCTTTTTGTAGGTCACCATTTCAAAGCTCATAAGGCTGTTCTTGCTGCCTGTAGCCAGTTCTTCTACAATTTTTTCCAAGATTTCACTCAGGAGCCCTTGGTGGAGATTGAAGGTATTATTCATGCAAATAAAAGCCTTCAGAGTTGAGTGACCAAGCTCAAAATGAATGTAGTATCCTTGGTATGGACTTAAAGGCATGCTCGGTCATGTTGATTAGCTTTCTTGGTCTCAGCTATTGAGTTGTTCTGAGACAGTGTTGCGATTTAGCCCTGACTGGCAACTAAGCACCACACAGCAAGGCTTGCTTGTTCCCCTACCAGCGAGATGGGGGGAAGAATTGGAAAGGTAAAAGTGAGAAACTCATGGGTCGAGATAAAAACAGTGTAATAATTAAAAAAATAACTTTCAAAACATGGTAAGGAAAAGAGAAAATATAACAGAGGAAATATAACAGGAAAAATATAACAGGAAATTAAAACCCAAGAAAGACAAGTGATTCAAAGGAACAGTTGCTTGCCACCAACTGACTGATGCCCTCTGCCTGTCTTCTCCCACCCCCCTCTAGTTTTATCACTGAGCATGATAAAGTGAGGTGAATTAGTGGTGAGGTACTGAAACAGGTTGCCCAAAGAAGTTGTGAATACTCCATCCCTGACAGTGTTCAAGCCAAGTTGGACAGAGTCTTGGGTGACATGGTTTAGTGTGTGGTGTCCCTGCCCATGGCAGGGGGGTTGGAACTAGATGATTTTAAGGTTCTTTCCAACCCTAATTATTCTATGCTTCTATGATGTCATATGGTATGGAATATCCCTTTGGTCAGTTGGGGTCAGCTGTCCTAGCTGTGTCCCCTCCCAACTTCTTGAACACCCTCGGCTTCCTTGCTGGTGGGTCAGTATGAGGAGTAGAAAAGACCTTGACTGAAGTGTAAGCACTGCTCAGCAGTAACTGAAACATTAGTGTTTTATCAAAGTTATTTTCAGAACAAATCCAAAACACAGCACTTTTCAAGCTACTATGAAAAAATTTAACTCTGTCCCATCTAAAACCAGTACAGATAGCTATTGCCACTGGAAAAAACTTCTGAGGAAAAATAAAAAAGAGAAAGATGCCTTGGTAGGAGTGTAAGAACAGGGTACGTGTGGAGCAATACTTGCTTGGCAGGCAAGGAGCGATTTCCTGGAGTAATATGGCTTCCAGTAACTTTCTGCTCAGAGATCTCTGAGAGAGAGATCTCTATTTTTTTTATGTTTAAATTTATGGATTTTATTATTTCATACAAGCAGCCTTTTGTCCATCTTACCGTTCCTTTTATCTTTGGTGTGTCCTGGGTTCAGCTGTAGCAGTCATTCTTCTCCTTCCTAGTTGCTGGTGCAATGCTGCATTTTTTACTTTCAGCCTGGGAACAATGCAGATAACACACCAATGTTTTCAGTTGGTGCTAAGTAATGCTTACTCAGATCAAGGACTTTTAGTCTCATACTCTGCCAGTGAGGAGGAGCATGGGAAGCCAGGAGGAAGCAGAGACAGGATACCTGACCCAGACTAGCAAAGGGGTGTTCCATACCACAGCATGTCATGCCCAGTATATAAACTGGGGGTAGTTGCCCAGAAGGCCCAGATTGTTGCTTGGGTCGGGCTGGGTATCTGTCAGTGGGTGGTGAGCAGTTGTATTCTCTCCCCTTATTATTTCCCTTATCGTTATTATTAATGGTGGTAGCAGTAGTGATTTTGTGTTATACTTTAGCTACTGGACTGTTCTTATTTCAATCCGTGGGAGTTACATTCTTTCAATTCTCCTCCCCATCCTTCCAGTAGCAGGGGGAGGAAGGAGGGGGGGAGTAAGGGAGCAGCTGCATGGTTCTGAGTTACCAGCTGGGCTTAAACCGCAACGGTGTGACATGACCCTATAGTTGTTCAAGATTCCCACATTTCTATAGTAGATATCTTATTCCAACATGAGCCTTTCAAGAGTGGCATCTTCATGAAACTGGTTGTCTAAGTGTTGTGAGCAAAATGGTAAGTAGGCAAGTGTGCAGGATGAAGTAATTGGTAAAAGAGGCTGGTTTTTTTTTGCTTGTAAACAGGTGTAAGTAACATGGCATTTCGTCACCTAATTGAGTTCACCTATACAGCAAAACTAATGGTCCAAGGTGAGGAAGAAGCAAATGATGTTTGGAAAGCAGCTGAGTATCTACAGATGTTAGAAGCAATCAAAGCACTTGAAATCAGGTAAACACATAAGTCTCTTTTTCTTCCCAACACTGAAATGTAGAGTCTTAATAATCCTTTTACAGGAGCTGGCTGCCTGTATTTTGCAGTGCTGTTTCTTATCCTGGGACCTTCTAAACCTGTGTGGGACCGTATAATCTTTGACTATAAAATATGGATCAGAATTATAAAGGCTTAAAAGTGAACGTCACATTCTTTGGGCTGGAACTTGATGACAAGTGACATGGCTGGTAGATGTTGCAGACATTGTAGGCCTGTGACTTTGTGTTAACTAATACTAGGTCTCAGTGCTGACTGCCCACACTCAATTACAGTTGGGTGTACAGTGACAATTTGCCTCAGTTAATTAGACCACATTAACAAATATGTGCTGGTGTTTTGATTTCATGTAGCTTTCTGCTTTCAAGAGAATAGGCAGTGATTAAAAAACTTCAAGGTGCAAAGTTAATCTCTTGAACAAATGTAATTGTTATCAGCTTTATATGGGATCAGTACTTCATCAAATGTTGCTGTTTAATCAAATGTTTTAGAGCTATTGCCATCCTTTATAGTTTTTTTTTTTTTTTTTGGTGGGGTTTCTTTGGTTAGAAAAACAAATGTGTATCACTATCAGTCTCAGTTTTCTCCAACCCCAGTAGAAGGGGGAAGAATTGCAGTACAGTGACTCTGTCTGAGTTTTGAATGAAAGGGGTAAACTTCAGAAATTTCAGGTAAAGTAGAGATTATTATAGAACTAACCATTTGTGTAATGAGCTCCACATCACATAATCTAGACTAGAAAGAAAACAACCAGCTGTTATTCCTTGAGGTACAGTGAGTTGTATGTGTGTATCCCCATCCAGAGTTTCACACCTGAGTCACACAATGTGCGCAAGGATGGTAGTCTCTCTCCTCTTTGCCGAGCAGATTATTATTTTGGTATGTGATTCTGGAGCTCCTTGCAGTAATGTGCAAAGTAACTGTCACCACCTAGACATCAGAAATCCAGGCTAGATGAAACTATAAGTATAGCTGCTCTGTCTTTCTGTATCTGAATATTTAATAAGCAATTTCATAGAATCATAGAATAGTTAGGGTTGGAAAGGACCTTAAGATCATCAAGTTCCAACCCCCCTGCCATTGGCAGGGACACCTCACACTAAACCATATCACCCAAGGCCTTGTCCAACCTGGTCTTGAACACTGTCAGGGATGGAGCATTCACAACCTCCCTGGGCAACCTATTCCAGTGCCTCACCACCCTAACAGAAAAGAATTTCCTCCTTATACCCAATCTAAACTTCCCCTGTTTAAGTTTTAACCCGTTACCCCTTGTCCTATCACTACAGTCCTTAATGAAGAATCCCTCTCCAGCATCCCTATAGGCCCCCTTCAGATACTGGAAGGCTGCTATGAGGTCTCCACGCAGCCTTCTCTTCTCCAGGCTGAACAGCCCCAACTTCCTCAGCCTGTCTTCATACGGGAGGTGCTCCAGTCCCCTGATCATCCTCGTGGCCCTTCTCTGGACTTGTTCCAACAGTTCCATGTCCTTTTTATGTTGAGGACACCAGAACTGCACACAATACTCCAGGTGAGGTCTCACATGAGCAGAGTAGAGGGGCAGGATCACCTCCTTCGACCTGCTGGTCATGCTCCTTTTGATGCAGCCCAGGATACGGTTGGCTTTCTGGGCTGCAAGCGCACACTGCCTGCTCATGTTCATTTTCTCATCAACCAACACCCCCAAGACTTTCCCCACAGGGCTGCTCTGAATCTCTTCTCTGCCCAACCTGTAGGTGTGTCTGGGATTGCTCCAACCCAGGTGTAGGACCTTGCACTTGTTATGGTTAAACTTCATGAGGTTGTCATTGGCCCACCTCACAAGTGTGTCAAGGTCCCTCTGGATGGCATTCCTTCCCTCCAGCGTATCAACCAAACCACACACCTTGGTGTCATCGGCAAACTTGCTGAGGGCGCGCTAAATCCCACTGTCCATGTCAGCGATGAAGATGTTAAACAAGACTGGTCCCAACACTGATCCCTGAGAGACACCACTTGTTACTGGTCTCCAGCAGGACATTGAGCTGTTGACCACAACTCTTTGTGTGCGGCCATCTAGCCAGTTCTTTATCCACCGAGTGGTCCATCCATCAAATTGATGTCGCTCCAATTTCGAGACAAGGATGTCGTGTGGGACAGTGTCAAACGCTTTACACAAGTCCAGGTAGATGACATCAGCTGCTCTACCCCTGTCCATCAGTTTTGTAGCCCCATCATCATAGAAGGCCACCAAATTGGTCAGGCAGGATTTCCCCTTAGTGAAGCCATGCTGGCTGTTACCAAGCACCTTGTTGATTTTCATATGCCTTAGCATGTCTTCCAATAAAATCTGCTCCAAGATTTTGCCAGGCACAGAGGTGAGACTGACTGCTCTGTAATTCCCTGGATCATCCATTTTCCCCTTCTTGAAAATGGGGGTTATATTTCCCTTTTTCCTGTCATCGGGGAGCTTCACCTGACTGCCATGATTTTTCAAGTATGATGGACAGCGGCTTCGCAACTTCATTTGCCAGCTCCTCCAGGACCCACGGATGGGTTTCATCAGGTCCCATGGACTTGTGCATGTTCTGATTTTTAAGATGGTCTTGAAGCAGATCCTCTCCTACAGTGGGCCTGAGGTCTTCATTTTCACAGTCCCTGTATCTGCCTTCCAAGACTTGGGTGGTTTGGTCAGAGTCTTTGCCAGTGAAGACTGAGGCAAAGAAGTCATTAAGAACCTCAGCCTTCTCCAAATCCTGTGTAGCCAGTTCTCCCGAGAGCTTCCTGAGGGGGCCTATGTTCTCCGTAGTCTGCTTTTTTTTATTTGCAATGTAACTATAGAATCCCTTCCTGTTATCCTTAACATCCCTGGCCAAGTTTAATTCTAACTGGGCCTTAGCTTTCCTAACCTGGTCCCTAGCTTCCCAGACAACATCCCTGTATTCTTCCCAGGTCGCCTGTCCTTGCTTCCACCTTTTATAAGCCTCTTTTTTCTTTTGAATTTTCCTCAAGAGCTCCTTATCCATCCAAGGAGGTCTCCTGGCCCTCCTGCTGCACTTCCTTGTAGTTGGGATGCAACACTCCTGAGCTTGTAGCAGGTGATCCTTGAATATCAACCAAGAGTCTTGGGCCCCCCTGCCCTCTAGGGCTGTATCCCATGGAACATTACTAAGCAGGTTCCTGAAGAGGCCAAAGTCTGCTCTTTTGAATTCCAGGGCAGTGAGCTTGCTGCACACTCTTCTCACTGTCCTGAGGATCTCGAACTCTACCATCTCGTGATCACTGCAGCAAAGGCTGGCATGGAGCATCACCTTTCCGACAAGCCCTTCCTTGTTGGTGAACACGAGGTCAAGCATGGCACCTCTCCTTGTCATCTCCTCTATTACTTGCAGAAGGAAGTTATCTTCCACACAATCGAGGAACTTCCTGGATTGCTTGTGCCGGGCCGTACCATCCCTTCAACAGATATCAGGGTGGTTGAAGTCACCCATGAGAACAAGGGCCTGCGAGCATGAGGCTGTTCCTGTCTGTCTATGGAGTGCTTCATCCGCAGGTTCTCCTTCATCGGACGATCTGTAACAGATCCCCACAGTAATGTCCCCCGTAGCTATATTCCCTTTAACCCTGACCCACAAACTCTCTGTGGACTGCTCACCTGTCCCCTGACAGAGTTCCATACTCTCCAGGCTATCCCTAACATAAAGGGCAACTCCCCCTCCCCACGTATCGGGGCTGTCTTTTCTAAAAAGCCTGTAACCTTCCATTCCAACACTCCAGTCATAGGAGCCATCCCACCATCTTTCTGCGATGCCTGTTATATCCTTGTAGATGTGCACACATCTCAAATTCCTCTTGTTTGTTCCCCATTCTATGGGCATTTGTATAGAGGCATCTGAGCCAAGATCCAAATGAAGCCGGCTCATTGGCTGGAGCAGCTGGGATATCTCTACATTGCTCAGAGCATTTATTATAGGTGCTGGCAACTGACTGGGAGTTTTGGGATGGAATGATGCCCCCCTCCCCCATAATAATAAGCTGTGTCCTGCATGAGGTCATTAGCCACATCTGTGCCGTATGACATACATGTATTCTCGAAAATCCTTATCTTTCCTATTACTACAAAACATGAAAGTAGGTATGGTGTAGCTTACATAAAAGGATTCATCAGGCTGTAAAGGAAGGTAAAAGCCCGAATTACTCTTGTCAGTTTGATTTGAGGGGAAGATAGCCACTCATTTTTTCAAAACTGATGCATGCTGGAGGTTTTGCTACTGATTTAAGTGCTGTTGACACCTGTGAGAGTGTGACTTGAAAGCATTGGCCCACTCAGCTGTCTTGGAGGAAGGGGGGTGTGTGTTTATGGTGCAAAAAGAGGATGAGAGTTGTGGGTTCTGTTTAAGCCCAGAGAATTAAGCTAAATAAAACTAAACTCTATCCACATCCCAGTGTCTGCTTTAAAAAAAAAAAAAAATCCAAACACCCCCCCCCCCCCCCCAAATAAAAAGGCCCAACAAAAACCTTAGCTGTGTGCTTTCCTGAAGTATGCGATGTTATAATAATCACTGTGTGAAGTCACAGCTGTAGTTTTTTCTAGCAAGCTGCAAGTATTGCAGACAATTGGGTTCACTACAGAGCTTAAGAGGTGAATAGTGTAGGAAGGACTTGAGTCTCATTTCTGAGTAGGCAGGCCAAATAACTCCTTCCTTTGGGCAAATTTTCTTACCAACTACAGAATTTCACAAGTTTCTTAGATAAACTTATGCCATTAGACTAATTGGCTTTTCTTCTTGATAGATAGTGTATATTGATCATAGAATCGTTAGGATTGGAAAGGACCTTAAGATCATCTAGTTCCAACCCCCATGCCGTGGGCAGGGACACCTTACGCTAAATCATATCACCCAAGGCCTCGTCCAACCTGGCCTTGAACACTGCCAGGGATGGAGCATTCACAACCTCCCTGGGCAACCTATTCCAGTGCCTCACCACCCTAACAGGAAAGAACTTCCTTCTTATACCCAACCTAAACTTCCCCTGTTTAAGTTTTAACCCATTACCCCTTGTCCTGTCACTACAGTCCTTAATGAAGAGTCCCTCTCCAGCATCCCTATAGGCCCTCTTCAGATACTGGAAGGCTGCTATGAGGTCTCCACACAGCCTTCTCCTCCCCAGGCTGAACAACTCCAACTTCCTCAGCCTGTCTTCATACGGGAGGTGCTCCAGTCCCCTTGTTATCCTCGTGGCCTTCCTGTGGACTTGCTCCAACAGTTCAAGCGCACACTGCCGGCTCATGTTCATTTTCTCATCGACCAGCACCCCCAAGTCCTTCTCTGCAGGGCTGCTCTGAATCTCTTCTTTGCCCAACCTGTAGCTATGCCTGGGATTGATCAAGTGGAGCTATTTAAAACTATTAGAATCAGAATCATAGAATAGTTAGGGTTGGAACTTGATGATCTTAAGGTCCTTTCCAACCCCCCTGCTATGGGCAGGGACACCTCCCACTAAACCATGTTGCCCAAGGCTCTGTCCAACGCTGCCAGGGATGGAGCATTCACAACTTCCTTGGGCAACCCATTCCAGTGCCTCGCCACCCTCACAGCAAATAACTTCTTCCCTATATCTAACCTAAACTTCCCCTGTTTAAGTTTGAACCCGTTACCCTTTGTCCTGCCACTGCAGTCTCTAATGAAGAGTCCCTTCCCAGCATCCCTATAGGTCCCCTTTAGATACTGGAAGGCTGCTATGAGGTCTCCATGCAGCCTTCTCTTCCCCAGGCTGAACAGCCCCGACTTTCTCAGCCTGTCTTCATACGGGAGGTGCTCCAGCCCCCTTGTTATCCTCGTGGCCTTCCTGTGGACTTGCTCCAACAGTTCCATGTCCTTTTTATGTTGAGGACACCAGAACTGCTCATAATACTCCAAGTGGGGTTTAATGAGAGCAGAGTTAGAGGGGCAGGATCACCTCCTTTGACTTGCTGGTCACGCTCCTTTTGGTGCAGCCCAGGATATGGTTGGCTTTCTGGGCTGCGAGTGCACACTGAAGCCAGCTCATGTTCAGTTTTTCATCAACCAGCACCCCCAAGTCCTTCTCTGCAGGGCTGCTCTGAATCTCTTCTCTCCCAACCTGTAGGTGTGCCTGGGATTGCCCTGACCCCTTGCATTTGGCTTGGTTGAACTTCATGAGGTTGGCATTGGCCCACCTTGCAAGCGTGTCAAGGTCCCTCTGGATGGCATTCCTTCCCTCCAGCGCCTCAATTGAACCACACATCTTGGTGTCATCGGCAAACTTGCCAAGGGTGTACTCAGTCCCACTGTCCATGTCACTGGCAAAGATGTTGAACAAGACCAGTCCCCGAGGGACAACACTTGTTACTGTTTTCCAACTGGACATTGAGCTGTTGACCACAACTCTTTGTGTGCAGCCATCCATCCAGTTCTTTATCCATCGAGTGGTCTGTCTATCAAATTGTTGTCTCTCCAGTTTAGAGACAAGGATGTTGTTCAGGACAGTGTTGAATGCTTTGCACAAGTCCATATAGATGATGTGAACTGCTCTGCCCCTGTCTGTCGCTTCAATAACCTTATGTCAGATTTTCCACAACATTAACCATGCTATTCTATAGCTGTAAGGAATATAGATTAAGGACAAAGTAGCTTCCAAAATGCATGCAGGTTATGTGGTAGTTCATCATTCAGCTGCTTTGAGAAACAGCTAGTGAGTGTTTAATGTATAAGCTCACTATCAGGCAGGAATTTTTATGTAAGTGCTTATGGATCTTAACTATGTTTATGTAAATGCTTTCCAGGAGCAAAGAAATTTCATCACCCTTAGAATCAAATCAAATACAAGATAAAAATAAACCAAAGAAGAGGAAGGTAGCTGAAACTTCTAATGTTATCACAGAAACACTACCACCTGCAGAATCAGAGCCTGTTGAAATTGAGGTTGAGGTTGCTGAAGGGATCATTGAAGTGGAAGATGACAGCATCGAAACACTTGAAGTAGCTTCTGCAGAGCAATCCATAAAGTACATACAGACAACAGGTACATCAGATGCATCTGCTTTGGCTCTTTTAGCAGATATCACCAGCAAGTATCGTCAGGGAGAGGGAAAATGCCAGATCCAGGAGGAAGATGACAGTGCATCTGATACCTTGTGCAAACAGGTAGAAGGTTTTGAAATTGTGGAACTTCAGCTGTCACATATGAAGAATTTATTCTGCTGTGAGAAATGTAACCGTTCATTTAAATTGTTTTACCATTTTAAGGAACACATGAAAACACACTCTACTGAGAGGTACAAGTGTGACATATGCAAAAAAAGGTACCTACGAGAGACTGCTTTGAAACAGCACCTCACCTGTTACCACCTTGATGAAGGTGGTGCCAGCAAGAAGCAAAGACCTGGCAAAAAAATACATATATGCCAGTACTGTGATAAGCAGTTTGACCACGTTGGACATTTTAAAGAGCACCTTCGGAAGCACACAGGTAAGAGCATTTCTATAGTTCTGTCCTTGTGACCTTAGCTCTAACATTTTGGGGTTTTGCATGTTTTGGGGAAATAGAAAATATACTGAAGAGAGCATGTGAGTCCTGAGTGCTAGAAATAATTGGCTTCTAGTTAGAACTAAAATGCTGGTTTGGGGTGTGTGAGGGGGGTTGTGTCTTGTTTTTCTTTGTTTTGCTGTTTGTCCTGGTTTCACCTGTAACAGTTTTTTGTTTGGGTTATTGTGTGTGTGTGTGTTGATTCGGAGAAAACTCCAGGAACAAACTTGCCAACAGAGTTTCAAGTTGACAAGCAGGTATTCTTTATTGCGGCACCGGGAGACATGGGGGATAGCTCCTCCTAACATGTGTCCCCCTATTGCTACACAAGCCATCCTTATGTAGTCCCTGGGCATACATACATATTCATGAGGCTACTTATGGATTATGTTATTTTCCAGAAAGTTCCCCCCATGCGTACAGAATTGTGGTGGTGGTATCTGAGGGTTGTTTACTTCTTCCAACAATCTTCATCACTTCTGGCAGCCTTTGAAGCACACACAGTAGATGCTTATACCAGCTTAATTGGTTTGTTAGCACCAGAGACATAATAATCCTCCTATCCTCCTACTTATCAGTTAGTTTAACTGTAGCCCATCCTGGACACCTGCCATTCCTAGATATTCCTTATTCTTGCGTCCTGTTCTTCTACACTGTTTTTCTTACATTGATTTTGTACTAAGGTTATAGGGCCTAAAACTATGTCAACTGCAATGGTTTATCTTATACAAGAATTCTCAGTATGTTCTCTAGCTGTACTCTACTTTTTTTTTTCTGTGTATTATGCACCTCAGTAATTTTCCATTGCTACTGTTACAAAGCCATCAAACTTAATATTACTTAAAACTGATTCTAAAGGTTTATATATTCAATTTTGTAATTTTGTGCCCCCCTTGCCTCAGTGTGTGTGTGTGCTGTTGTTTGTGTGTTTGGTTTTGGGGTTGTGTTTTTTTGTTTGTTTGTGGTTTTTTTTACCTCTCCGTCCTAATAGCTGTTGCAGTGCTGTGTTCCAGCTTTAGTCTGAGAACAGTGATGATAACAGACAGATGTTTTAGTTGTTGTTAAGTAGCACTTACCCTGATCAAGGACTTTTCATTCTCTCATGCTCTGTCAGTGAAGTGGGGCACAAGAAGTTGGGAGGAAGCAGAGACAGGACACCTGACCCAAACTAGCCAAAGAGGTATTCCATACCACAGCATGTCATGCCCAGTATAAAAACTGGGGGAGTTACACAGAGGGGACCAGTTGCTGTTTGAGTCAGGCTGGGTATTAGTCAGGGGGTGGTGAGCAATTGTATTGTGCATCACTTGTGTTTACTGGTTTGTTGTTTTTTTTTTTTTTCCCTTTCCACTTTAAGCTTTATATTCTCTCCCCTTGTTATTTCCCTTATTCTTAATAATAATATAATATTGTACTTTAGTTACTGGACTGTCCTCATCTCAACCTGTGGGATTTACATTGTTTTGATTCTCCTCCCCATCCTGCCAAGGGAGGGGAAGAGGTGGTGTGAGTGAACAGCTGTGTGGTGCTGAGTTACCAGCTGGGTCTAAACCATGACACCGTGGATAGAAGCTTTGGGTGAATGAGGTGGTTAAAAATAGGCACCTGAAAACAGAAAGCACTAATGAAGCTTCTTTCTCAAGTCTGTTAGATCTTAAAGTTTTTTTCAGAATCATTTCTTAAAGCATATTTTCTTCTCCAAAATTACCAAACCGAGGAGCCACTCATTTTCACAGTTCTGTTGAAATATGATTTGAACTGTGATCTTTACTGGAATACACAGTTTAAAGAAACCTTTTAACTAACAGAACTTCTGAACAAATGCCTATTAATGAATTAGGTGTAAAATAGCCCCTAACAACTCTCTTGTACCATCTTGTCTGAGAGTTTCATTATTGCATTTGATATCTCACCTATGATTTAATCTTTTTTGTGAGTTAACACAGCAAATCTTTTCTAGCGACTGACAAAAAAGTCTACTACTGTAAAATATGCCTCTGAAACATGGATAGCATATTTTGAGTACAAAATGACTTGTGCTACTTTTATATGGGAGGTTGAAGTGCTACTTCATCTTACTGAAAAGTTTTTACTGTTTGAATAGGTACTGAACATTATATGCATATTTATATATATAAAATATATGTTGTCCCGATATTTCAGAAGTTTTTGTTTAATATGTCAGTCATGAATCACCAGAATTTAATGGAGAGTAGCAGTCCTACATATTCTCAGCTTTTTTTTTGCTGCCAAATCCTTTTAAATGGAATGTCTTTGCATCTGTGGAGTGTTGATATTGGTCAGTGTGTGATTGGCCTAGGAAGGCCAATGTTACTCTCATCTACAAAAAGGGCAAGAAGGAGGACCTGGGAAACTACCAGCCAGTCAGCCTCACCTCCATCCCTGGAAGGGTGATGGAACGGCATCCTGGAGGTCATCACCAAACACATAGAAAAAAAGGTCATCAGGAATAGTCAGCATGGATTCAACAAGGGTAAATCTTGCTTGACCGTTCTTGTAGCCTTTGATGACGACATAGCAAAATGGGTCAATGAGGGGAAAGCAGTGGATGTTATCTACCTTGACTTCAGCAGGGCTATTGACACAGTCTCCAGTAAAATCCTTGTAGGTAAGCTTAGGAAATGTGAGTTAGATGAATAGGCAGTGAGGTGGATCAAAAACTGGCTGAATGGCAGAGTTCAGAGTGTTGTGATTAGCATAGTAGAGTGCAGTTGAGGCCTGTAGTCAGTGGTGTTCCTCAGGGATTAATACTGGGTCTGGTTTTAGAATCATAGAATCGTTAGGGTTGGAAAGGAACTTAAGATCATCTAGTTCCAACCCCCATTGCCATGGGCAGGGACACCACGCACTAGGCCATGTTGCCCAAGCCTCTGTCCAACCCAGCCTTGAATGCTGCCAGGGATGGAGCTTTCACAACTTCCTTGGGCAATCCATTCCAGTGCCTCGCCACCCTCACAGCCAATAACATCTTCCTTATATCTAACCTAAACTTCCCCTGTTTAAGTTTGAACCCATTACCCCTTGTCCTGCCACTGCAGTCTCTAATGAAGAGTCCCTTCCCAGCATCCCTATATGCCCCCTTCAGATACTGGAAGGCTGCTATGATGTCTCTGAGCAGCCTTCTCCAGGATGAACAGCCCCAACTTTCTCAGCCTGTCTTCATACGGGAGGTGCTCCAGCCCCCTTGTTATCCTCGTGGCCTTCCTGTGGACTTGCTCCAGCAGTTCCATGTCCTTTTTATGTTGAGGACACCAGAACTGCTCATAATACTCCAAGTGGGGTTTAATGAGAGCAGAGTTAGAGGGGCAGGATCACCTCCTTTGACTTGCTGGTCACACTCCTTTTGGTGCAGCCCAGGATATGGTTGGCTTTCTGGGCTGCGAGTGCACACTGAAGCCAGCTCATGTTCAGTTTTTCATCAACCAGCACCCCCAAGTCCTTCTCTGCAGGGCTGCTCTGAATCTCTTCTCTCCCAACCTGTAGGTGTGCCTGGGATTGCCCTGACCCCTTGCATTTGGCTTGGTTGAACTTCATGAGGTTGGCATTGGCCCACCTTGCAAGCGTGTCAAGGTCCCTCTGAATGGCATTCCTTCCTTCCAGCCTATCAACTGAATCACACATCTTGGTGTCGTCGGCAAACTTGCCAAGGGTGCACTCAGTCCCACTGTCCATGTCACTGGCAAAGATGTTGAACAAGACCAGTCCGAACACCAGTCCCCGAGGGACAACACTTGTTACTGTTTTCCAACTGGACATTGAGCTGTTGACCACAACTCTTTGTGTGCAGCCATCCATCCAGTTCTTTATCCATCGAGTGGTCTATCAAATTGTTGTCTCTCCAGTTTAGAGTCAAGGATGTTATGCAGGACAGTGTTGAATGCTTTGCACAAGTCCAGGTAGCTGATGTCAGCTGTTCTACCCCTGTCCATCAGTTCCCTAGCCCTATCATAGAAGGCCAACAGATTGGTCGGGCAGGATTTCCCCTTAGTGAAGCTGTGCTGGCTGTCACCAAGCACCTTGTTTTTCATATGCCTTAGCATGCTTTATAGGAGAGTCTGCTCCAAGATTTTGCCAGGCACAGAGGTGAGACTGACTGGTCTGTAATTCCCTGCATCATCCATTTTCCCCTTCTTGAAAATGGGGGTTATATTTACCTTTCTCCTGTCATCGGGGAGCTTCACCTGACTGCCATGATTTTTCAAATATGATGGACAGTGGCTTAGCAACTTCATTTGCCAGCTCCTTCAGGACCCACGGATGGGTTTCATCACGTCCCATGGACTTGTGCATGTTCTGATTTTTAAGATGGTCTCGAAGCAGATCCTCTCCTACAGTGGGCCTAAGGTCTTCATTTTTACAGTCCCTGCATCTGCCTTCCAAGACTTGGGTGTTGTGGTCAGAGCATTTGCCAGTGAAGACTGAGGCAAAGAAGTCATTAAGAACCTCAGCCTCCTCCAAATCCACGTCACCAGTTCTCCTGATGGCTTCCTGAGGGGGCCTGCATTGTCCCTTGTCTCTCTTTTATTTGGTACATACTTAAAGAATCCTTTCCTGTTATCCTTAACATCCCTGGCCAAGTTTAATTCTAACTGGGCCTTAGCTTTCCTAACCTGATCCCTAGCAACATCCCTGTATTCTTCCCAGGTTGCTTGTCCTTGCTTCTGCCTTTTATAAGTCTCTTCTTTCCCCTCTAAGTTTTCTCAGCAGCTCCTTATCCATCCAAGGAGGTCTCCTGGCCCTCCTGCTGCATTTTCTTCTAGTTGGGATGCAACACTCCTGAGCTTGTAGCAGGTGATCCTTGAATATCAACCAAGAGTCTTGGGCCCCCCTGCCCTCTAGAGCTATGTATATTGTATATTGCCCTCTTCCTTTTTTTTTTTTTTATTGTTACTAGTTCCCAGCTTCCTGGGTTAATGCCCTCC